CACATTTGGATATGTGCGTGAGAGCAGCAAGGCATAGACAGTGACAGCAACTACCACTGTCAACACAGTTTTATTATCACGCTGGCCTAAACAAAGTTAGGACATATCCCAATAATTTAAACATGCATACTCTTGGAATTCACCTGTCAGATAAGATTCCTGAAATACCAAAGCCAAAGTGTGTTTTGTCTTCATATTCACATGTAGCAAATCTAAAAACCATCCCTAACCTCACAGAAGCAGGAGTACTTCCCACTCTCTTCTTGTGTCCCCTCCGTAAGTGTGCCATGTTGCACGTACTGGAATTTCAGGCCACACAAGGACAAGACTGGATGCTGCTGTGGTGCTCTTTTGAGCTCATTTTCAAGGTAATTTGTAGGCTATCCAGAGTCAAGGCCAGTGCATTGCTGGTCTCCCCACAGCCACACACAAAACATCCCGAAGAAGCTAGGCAGAATACAGATGGATTACCACATCTCTAATGCACGATAAGCAGCAGTGATAACACAGTCTTGGAATAGTACAACTGCCATGTATTAATAAAAGCATGACGCACTGCGACTGATTTATGAGCCTGGCACGTTAGGTGGGAAGAGAATATGCCTGGTTCTGGTAGAGATGGCAGGTTGTTCCTTACATCCGCCAGCACACAAGATCCACTGACAAGTACTTTACAAGATTTTTAAGTTAGCAAGTCACAGCTGAGCACGTCTCCACAGACAATATATGTAAATGTTATCATGCGAGATTGAGTTCTTGAAGTTGGAAGTGTACGGTCACTGTTCAAATACAATACATGTCACAATCTCAGATGACCCAAATGCAATTCAAACACCTCTAATATCGCTCCGAATGATAAGGGAAGCTGCTTCCTTCCTGCTTTCCAGAACCAACTGTTTTAAAGTCACAGGGGACTTCCAGCTTTCATCTAGCAGCAGCATGATGTAGAAACAACTCTTGATAATCCCCATTGGGACATACCACCAGGGTGTGTTAGTAAATGTCCCCATTGTTTCTTAAATGAGTGGGGATTTATTTCTATGCTTGTGGGATACTGCAAGCTACAAGAAAACTTTCAGAAGTTTAAAGAAAAGCTCCATTATTACCAGGGGAAGTATTCTGAAAGTACAAACTATGCAGATTTTCATGCATTTATGGGTGGGAAAGACCGAAGTCTATAAACTTCTCAATGTAATCAAGTCAGTCTGCTTGCTATGTGCAGGGAATTTCATAAAGTTGACTAACTCACATCAACTTTGCTGGGTATACTTTATATGGTTGTGATGCTGCACTTATAAATATTTCTCTTTCAAAAGCAAGCGTTTCCCAAGAATTGTAGTTACTACACAATGTCACAATATGACCTGCCTCCTTCAATCTTCTCTGCTGCAGTGGAAGGATTGACACCAGCAAGGGAGAAGCCTGATCTCCTTTGGTTCCTCTTCCTTAGCAAGTCAATGAGCTTTACTGCCAAAACCAAACTACTGGAAACTGTCCTTTCTTCTGTACCGCTGCAAAAACAAGTCATACAATTACAAAATTACAATTACACTTTCACAAATTACTCATTCCACATCACACTAGATAATGGCAAGATGTTTTAGAACAATAGATGTTTCAGAACTGCACAGACTAGCAGCAATTATATGATCTGATAATTTACAATCATCTCATAACACTGTCTGTCAAACTGGGGGGCCACAGGAACCTTTTGCATAAGACTTTAAGCCTTTAATTTCGCAGTTCTCTGGCTCACCTTACAGCCAAGGAAGTGTGTTTTCTGTAAAAGCTGATTGCTTTTCCACAGGCCTGTGTGACCTGAGCTTGCAGGTTAAAGTTCAGTGTCCACTTGTGTAAATTGTCTGCAAGACTCTGAACTGACAACTGTGCCCCTGTCCAGGTCATGCATGCTGAGTTGAGGTTATCTTTTCAGAGCAGGGCTGTGCCACACTGCCCAGACAAGGGTGGGAAATATTTTTAACAAATGTTAAAAACACATACTTAAAAGTATTTTGAATTTCATTACAATCTGGGGAACTTCAGATACCTAAACTTGACAGCATTAAAACTTTTTTACTAAATCAGAAGGCTGCACACTTCCACTCCTTTCCCCTCCACAACATCTCATGGAAATCCTATTTGTGGACACAGGGAAGAATCTTACCAGTGTAGGCTTACTTATGGCTTATGCAGGCCATAGAAAGGATGTCTGAGCCATACATCACTTGGCATATTTGGCTCATTATTAAAACTTTGTCTGCTGCTGATACCCATGAAGAATCCCTTTCTTCAGTGCTTCATATATATCAGGTTTTTTGGTACTTGAGACATGATGTCTTGTGGGATGGAGATGGCATAAAAAGTATTATTGTTGGCTGTAACATCACATCCAAGATTCAGTAGCAAATAACTAATATTTAAAAAATAATTTGGATTTCCCTTTACTAATTTATTTACCGCATTTACTGACAGTGCAAGCAAAGCAAAAATCCATTCTGAGAATGGACTGGGGCACAGGTATCCTTTCTGTAATGATTTCATATACCAGCTTTATTCAAACAACTTCTTACTGAACAACATTGTAAGACATTTTAGCTAAGGGAATTGCTGAATACTTCATTCAACCATGTGTTCTGTGCATGCAATTAACATGTAGAAGGTAAATACTCTCAGCCTGTCTGTCCTCTTCATAATGCTTCAAAGAACACACAAAAAATCATAGAAATGGCTTGTTACAGACCCTAAAATACACATAGCAGCATGCCATTTCACCAAGCTGGAAAAAAATATCCTATTCCAAGGCAAGTACATTATTTTTAAAATATTAGGTAGGTTGGTATAACTTGCAGACTAATAGTAATAATAATAATAATAATAATAATAACAACAATAATTTTTTAACACCTACTCTGGATTAACTTGGAAATCTGTTACATAACAGATGTGGTACTCCCCCAGCAATTTCAGCAGCTCAGCTATGACTGTACACACATCTTTCATAACCTTGTTGGTGATTTTAATCTACCTCAACAACTGTTGCTCTAATAAATATTTCTTGCAAATGAAAAAAATCATTGTAGTAATTATGCAATAATAATTTGCTAAATTATGATAAAACCACCAAAATAAACCAAAGCTTTTGGTTTTTTTCTGTGATCATAAACAGGGACATGAAGTTCCCTGGAAAGTAATGCAGCAGAACCCACCTGTTAAAAAAACTACAGGTATACCATCATTAACCTTCGTTGCCTGTTGGAACAACACTTGCTCAGGTTCTGTGATTAGCCATATGAAATTGGTATTCGGCACTAACATGACGCTTCTGGAGTTGAAACAGCACATGGAAAGCGACACTGTGTATTGTCAGCAGTAAAACACCATGATATATACAGTGATTATTATTCATATTCCAAAGTGCTGCAAACCCCAGTCATGAAGCTACTGCATCAGAACAAAATGACTCTTCTTGTCACAGGGAGCTTGTGAGGGGCATGCAGGAAGGTGATAGATGGATGCAGACAGACTGGAAGGCAAAATGAAGTTTTCATTAACACAACAGATATGAATCCTTGCACACTAGTACCATAAAATACTCAACTTGTGTATACATTAAAGCCAAGCGGCTTTAATGACAGATGCAGAAGACACCTAGGAGGGAATTTTTCAGAAATTTATGCAACAGCTCTTCAGGAACAATGAGCAATTGGAACAGCCTAAAAATGCTTATTTAGAAGTCTGAAAATGAAGCGTGCAGAGGCTGACCTGGTGGGACAATCAGAACAAGAGATAACTTACATAACGTCTTGATTTGTGTAAAAGGGATGGTGTAACAACAGGCTTTGGTAGTCATGAGCAAGTGAAGAAAGAAGCTTTACAACTAATGCAATAGAGATGGCAAAGCCAGAGAAATAACACAAAGCAAGAAGCAACAAGTCAAAGCAAAAGACTAATAAACAACCCACTCTGCAACTTTCTCAGTGGCTGTGAAATCAAAGTTGTTTATCTGTCAAGGACAAAAAAGGGACACCATAATTCAGATCAGTATGATCAGGCTGGGTTAGACTGTAAACTTCATGACCAGGTAGGAAAAACAGACGTGCTGTAATGGAGATTGAGACAGAGCTGGCATAGGAAGCTTTAGAAACATCCAAGTCAAAGCTGTTTACTAAGCACAATTGTATCTACAGAAGGACAACAGAAGCAGAAATCATGAGGGTTACAGAGTTGGGAATATTCAGTTGCATTGAAGGAACTGCTCTGTCTTGAGGCATCAGAGATGCAGACTAAGCAGAAGGCGACTCCTACTCCCATCCCTGTGTAAGAGGCATATCAAAAAACAAAGCCTATTTAAGGCAATGGGCAGTGCCAAGTAAATCTCAACCATTCTTATCCATGCAGCTGTTATGGAGAGGACAAGTAGGATTTTTGGAAGAAGTTATCCATCTATCCATCCATCCATCCATCCATCCATCGTTGGATGGAACAGAATCACACAGACTAGCAAAGCACACAGAATCCCACTCTGAAAACCCACCAATATGCTCTAGCTCATACTTTTCCATGTTGCCACCTGAAATACTTGAAATGCTCCAAGGTCCAGTAGGTGGATTTATTTAGTAAGGTATTTATTTCCAGAACAGAGTAAACCAGCTTTCTTTTTCAGAAGATGCACCTACAAGATTGTCATGCAAGTTATAATGAAATGCCATCGGTGTGGCACACCAGCACAATTACAAGCAGAGAGCAAAACCTAAGAGAACACTCCATTGATCCTGCTTTCCATAAGGCTTCATTCTATTTTGATAGACACATAGCCATGAATATCTTCGTGGACAATTCTAAAAGCTGTAATTTCAACTCTGAGGTTTTGCAAGCTTTGTTTTGTGTGGTGTATGATATCATAAACATCCTGAATATAACTACAACTGCAATTTTGTGGGCTGTACTTTCCCTACTGGTAGCCCAAAGTGGATGCTTACAAAAACTTTTCTGCAAACTTATTTGATTTGAACTTTTTATTATTATTACAAATGTATATTATTTTATTAAAAAAATTCACACTGAAGCAAAGTCAATTCCATTTCATTACAACCAAGAATATAAAATAAATGCAATGAACTCATAGCTTAGTTTTAACAGTCATTTCAAGAGTGACATCAGGACAACTTAAAAGCAGTAAACTCTCAACTCCAGAATGAGAAACAAGTATTTTGCTTTGTGGTTTTGGTAGCCCATTGGCACGGGCACTGCTGAATGAGGCCACCACAGATCTGGAGCGGCAAAGTTCCATGGCAGCACCAGGCGCATACACAATAATTTCTAATGGAAACTACAAAAATGAAAGATGCGTGCATGAAATTATTAGGAAAAAAAAATAACTGAGTAGAGACAGGCACACTTCCACAAATAGTAAACATGGGAATATACAACTAGAACAACTTGAAAAGTTACTACCTTACATATATAAAAAGTTCTTTAAATTGCTGTTAAAAAGGACATGTTCTGTCCAGATTTTGTGTAATACTTTTTTAGTGTCTACACAAGACAAATTTTTAAAAAAATTAAATAGCATTAATTTACTACTAAATATTTAGGAGATAACAGTGCATTAAGGACTTTTTTCATATAGTAATACACATCGCTGCTGTCTGGCGACATTTTTAGAAGATTACGTATGGCCTTATGTACAATACATTTATTTAATCCTAAAACAATTCTTTGCTTAATGGTGTTAAAGTACCATTCCTGAAGATTATGAAGGGGAACTAAGCTTATTATGTTTATATAAAATATCATACATATTTGAACACTTCTAGCTTCCCGCCACCCCTCCCGCCACTAATGCACTTCCCTCCCCCTTCCCAGATACAGTGTCACAGATACAGTGCAGGAGTCGCAGCTTTCCCTATATTTTTCCTTCATTGTGCAGTTTGTGCTACATAAAACTTCACCAATGTGGACCAGGATGCTCATCCCATTAATTCCCCATGTTTGTTTCCTCTGAGCCACGACGTGAAAAGCTGTACTCAGCAGCCCGCTCTCCCACCGGGTTGGAGAAGACAGCTCTGCACCTCTTGGTACAGGCGTGAAACACTTTGGTGAGGGTCTACAGGTTATGGGCAGAGACAGAGCTGAGTAATAAAGAAACTGCACAGGCAAAAAAAACCCAATAAAAATGACATGGTCCTGGTTTCCCACAATAAACTGCACAATTCACTTCTGAAAGGGGAGTTTTTACCTCATGGGATAACCCCTAGGCAGCAAGGCTTTTTCCATTATGACTGCCACCCACCCTGGCAGCATGCATCAAGCTCCCAAGAAAAGGCAATTTCACTCCCAGGAAGAAACTACAAGAGTGTGCAGAGCCTACATTTTGCAGCCAGTGCTGTTGGTTTTATTCGCTCTCCTGGCTGTGAATTTGAAGGAACAGAGGAAGTCAGCTTGGCTTCACCTGTGCACACAAAAGCTAGAGAGAGGAGTGGCATGTGGTCATCTATCAAACCCAACCAAGGCAAGAAATGCAAGTGCAGCTTAGAGAGGTTGTGGCAGTCACTCTAGAAGCTGGAAGTTCACTCAATTAAAGCACCTTACATTGCTGTGAAGTTTCACACTCTTTATACAGATTAATCTACACCATGATTTTGCATTATTGGCACAAGAGCCCACCTTAATTAACCAGTGGATCCCTGCCACCTCCTGATCTTGTATGAATTTTGATGATCAGCTGCAGGTCACAGCAGGGAAAAAAAAACGTTAGATAACTGTAGTAGAAAAGAATAATTTTGAGAGAATAGAAGGATGAAAAGAATAGGAGGGGACAAAAATCACTCTGCCATTAAGTTAATTTCCAGAAATGTGAAATTCAAATCACAGAAGTATAAAAGAAGTGTTACTTAATGGCATTGGCCAAATATCCATTTGATCAAAAGTACCTCATCCTAACATCAGTAGGGGGGAGACAGAAAGAATGTCACCCCAGAGTCACTGAAATAAAGGAACAATTAAAATCTGTTCTTTCAAACAGAGTATATATATATATATATATATATATATGGATGTAGTATACAGACTACAGTATGTATAAAATGTAGCACTTCAAGTGTTACACACTGAAAGTATCCTTTGGGAGATTTTTTCCCCAGAAATATTTTTTTTTCTTTCCAGTTGCTTAATTTAGTTTTTCACCAACTTCTTATCCATTTGATGACAAAAGCAGGTTTTAGCTGCTTTTCCAGAGCAGCTGGGTGTTGTCAAAATCACATGATGGTAGGGATGGCCAAAGCAAGCCAACTGCTCACAAAAAGTAGGAAAACAGCATGAGTTTGAGGAGGAAGGGGGCACTAAAGATGATTGGGAGATCAAATCCAGTAGAACCATGTATATGACTGGCTGTGACAAAAATGATTCTCCTCAGAGCAAACAGATCTACTCATCTTGCTACATCTGATCACAACTTCAGTGTGAATGTGTATGGGTACACCATTTTTGTTGTGTGGGCACAGGACAGAAGAGAACACTCTAGAGTATAAAAACCCGATATACCACAGAACTCCTCTCACCTCACCTCTTCTCTGGACACCAGCTGTAGAAACTCACTGATGTTACACTGCCAGTAGCTTTCTAAATGCATTCCTCTAGGTTTTCTGCCACAGGAGTCAGCCTTATTTCTGAAGGCTGAAGCAAAAATGAAGCTGTCCCAAATTATATGTTGTGTCTCTCCGAATAACTGTGGTTCCAGAAGTTGGACAATAATCTTCTGATTATGCTTCTGAACTCTTGCTTAATTACTGAGGATTTTCTGCCAACTACCCATCCACTTACAGTCCCTTAGGCACAATCAAAACATGTTTGCTCTAGGGAAAAAGAAACATTTCAGTGCAATCAAGCGCATCTGGTGTAACTAATCTGGTTAATCACAGCAATGTGAGGGACACAGAATATGCATTATAAACAAGAAAAAGGAACAATTTTCAAGATGCTTTTCAAACTGCACAATTTCTCTTAATTATAAATTCTAACATAAAATTATTAAATGCATTTGTTTTTGCAAGTCTTAGTATTTCTGTCACCTTTAAATTTTGAGAACTGACTCAGGAATGTGAAAGAAAGCTATGTTTATAGAACTCTCACGCACATTAATAAGCTACTTAGCAGAAAAACAGAAAAAGCCCGTCATCCACATTCCTACTGAGACTTGAGGGCAGTAAATACATTTTCCTGACTATTTTGGTGTCCAGCCTGGGAAGACATTCCATTCTTCTGTTCCAACAGATCCTGAAAGCATCTCCTTTTTATGTGACTGTCCTGGTTTCATTTGAAGTAATGCTTAATTTAAAACTAGTCAGAGCATGATCACTGTGATTTCAAGAATTCAATGTGAATGAGTTAAGAAATATCAGCAATCTTCTGTTTGGCGTTCAGTCCAGTAGCATGAAGCATATCTGTCGCTGCAGAGACTTGGGTGGGTTTTATTCTTTTTTCATTTTTCTTTTTTCATTTTATTAATTTTTAAATTTTTTTATTTTTAATACTTTGCCTGAAAACTAGACTAATAAAAACAGAATAGTAAAATACTCTGGAACAGTAAAATTTTGCTGTTCTTGACATCCATGAGCAAAACAGTAATATCCTGTGAAAATAACATAGTGCTTTAAAAAGGTGCAATATACCTGTATAGCTAAACTGGTTTGCCTAGTATAAAACTAACTATATACAAGCTTGAAAGCCTGGGAGTTCAAGATTTTAAAACTTTAAAATCCCATCAAAGAGATTGAAAAGACAGATTTATGGCAATCACTACAGCATAAGGAAGGTGCACCAGGAATCCTTCAAAATTCCAAAGGATAAAGAAGTTAAGTGCTGGGTTCAGATCAGAAGGGTTCATTAGAGTAACCACAATGGAGCACATGCAAGGGCAGGGAAGAAGGAAAACTTCACAAGAATCTCCTTTATGGCAATAAAGGGATGGGGATGGGGCAGGGGTGGGGGAAGTCTTCAGTGATTGAAGTTTTCCTTTTGTCATCATGAATTTTAATTCTGCATCATAGTTTGTATTTTTGGTCTTCTCATCGTTATGAACTTCATATTGCTGGAGTCTTCTGGCTTCTAGTCCATTCCTTTCTGAGTGCAGCCTGTCAGGCCCCTCAGTACCTGTGAGACTGATGAGATTGGTGATACTGAGAGCTCTGCTGAGATGATGTGGAATAGCCCATTGTACTCTGGGACTGAGAAGATCCCTGAATGTTGCTTTGGTAACTCAGGCGTGAGCTGGAGTGCTGCAGGAAAAAGGAGAGGGATCAAAGGTATGAAACCCAGCCTGTCAGGATCATGCAGCTCAGGAAATTTTTTACCTCTCTGGTGCTCATTAAAACATGATTCTTGTGGAAGCCGACTAAACAGTGCTACTATTTAGGGTCCCACAAAACAAGTGATCATTCTGATCTGCAATTACCTTTAACACAGCACACAAAATACACAAGAACCCTTGGAGACACCTAAAAGCATAGCAGGTACACACCCATTTTCTGAAGAAAAAATACACAAGAGACAAGAGAGCTCCCTTTCAAAATTCATCTGTTTCTTAAACTTACATCTATGTTATTGTAAATGCTGTTAATGCTAAGGCTACAAACACCCTTTTCAAGATAGGCAATACTAAATGTTATAGAGGAACATTTTATTCTTTTCTAAGTAAAAGACAACCATGACTTAAGAGCTACTCAATTTATCTAAATGAAAAGTTGTCCATTAAGATAAAATAATATAATTTTAAGTGAGTCTTTCAACCTGCTACTGCAAACAAGGACAACTGCTTAAAGATGGACATATGTATGTACATAAGCTAACATTCATTTTCCTGAAGGCTTTTTTTTACCCTCCACAGTTTGGAGCAGTCAGCTCAGTGGACTCCAACCTCAGCAAGACAAATTTGTGTATCTTGCAACCTCCAGCCTGCTGAATTTTCCCTTTCATTATCATAATCATTCCCCATCCAGAATTAACCATGAGCTGCCCAATAACGCAAGTTGCAAAATCACTTGGCACGAGAAGTACTGCTTGGTGGACAGGAGACTGTGCAGCAAGGTAAACCTCACCACAATCCACATGATTAGGCTGGTTGTGTAACACAGTGTCTGAAACCTGAAATTGTTCTCAAAATTCTGGAAAGTTTTTCAACTTCTAATGGAAAAGAAAAAGAATTGTAATAAATTCTATGACTTCATAGGAGCTCTTGCTGGATGAAAAGCATCAGCTCACCAGCTAAGCAAAATACCCAAGGTCACATAAGAAAAGCTCGGTAAAATTCAACAAAGAGTTTGCATTGTCATTTGTGGGAGTAACATATATCAAGGCTGGTGAATGACAAAAACCACTTCAACAGAGACTTTAGGCCACAAGCTAAATGAAACTCAGAGCAAAGGGTACCTTCTACCTAGTTCTGAATAAGATAAAATGAAGTAAAATTAATGCTGTAAGACTACAAGAATGCATTAACTTGCCCATGCTTATATTTGTTCCCCATATGAGAATTTGTTTTTAACAAGTCAGACTTGGACAAATTGCAGACATTCCTTTCTGGAATAGAAGATAGCTACAAGTTAAAGGCAGATAGCCAAACACAAGTGTAAAAATGGATAATCAGACCATGCAATTTAGTGAATGATGTAAAGGAAACATACAGATCATAATTTTGATGTCTGAGCTGTTAAAGTTTAGAAGAAAAGCATCATAGAGGGCAAAAAAAAACTGAGAAAAAGAATATTTAGACTGCTAGCAACTTGTAAGGCGTTAGTTTGCCAACAGTTCAGAGAACTGGATAAGAATTCTATAATGCATCATATTAGAATTCATCAAATGCATCCCACCTGTCCTCTAAGCGTAGCCCAAACCAGACCAGCTATAAATACTGTGCAGTCAGACAGATGTACTGATCTGTCCAGGCCTCAAGCCTGTCTGGAACTTTTCAAAAAACAAACTTTGTTGTCTTTCCCCTTAAATTGCCCTCAATGCCTTCATGACCATTTGTAACTAAAAGAGTGAAACAAAAATGGGAGAAATATGTCTGGCAGTGAGTAACCAATTGTCTGTGAAGAAGGTCTGGAGAGCTAATTCAAGACAACTCGGGAGCTGGTGCCTTAAAACCTACTTATTTTAACTTTAAAGCAGCCTGAAAAGACCATTCTCCAAAAAGGGATCCTCTTGGAGGCTAGGAGCAGACAGAATCCCTAGCATAATTTAAAATTTACCCTTAATATCTACCTTTTTTGTTTTATTTTTCTTTCAACTAATTACTGCTCTAGCAAGTATAAACTGAGAAGTACTGAAGATCCTAATAAGTTCAATGCTTTCTACATTTAATGTAAGTCACTTTTTCAGTGGAAAATATAATTCTAGTGAGCAATGACAAGTATGCAAATTCAAAAATTATTCAGTGATAATGCTTTTCCTTATGAATGCTAGTGTACCAGAAAATATGAAATCTGTTCTACTTTGGTCACATTAGAAACAACATGTGTCTTTGTGCCCTTCTCTGGCATGAATCAAACGGATGAACCAAATTGTCATTAATGTGCTTACATGCATTTTTTTTTCTTTAACATTAGAAGCAGACTTAGAAAGATACCAGAATAAACTACAGAACCATTTCATACACGTGACAATAGGAGGAATGAGATGGGAGAGCCTGCTTCTAACTTTGCTTCTCCTTTTCAGGATTGTCTCACATCTACACCTCACATGGGATTTAATATTGCAAAGACTCGAGTACCCTGAACTTGATACCATGGAGCATTTACATCCACTGGCTTCAGCAAGATTACTCTAAAATACAAAGTTAAGCAAGTACCAAGTACTTTCCTGGAGTGGACTAGTCCTTAAGACTTTACAGGGCACAGTAGATACAACACAAACTGGTTGAAAATTACTAATCATTGAACAAAACCTCAGGATGCCTCAGGTTACACCAAAAATTCATTAAAACATGATCTGTTCTTGCAGTTGGGAAGCGGGAAAATGACATTTTGGCCCTTGGCCCTATAGTATCAGAAGCAGCAAAATTTCCAGAGGTACCTGATAATCTGAAGGCATGACAGGCCCGCCTGAGTTAGCGCCTGAAGGCCCTATGCGTGGTTTCTTGTTTGGAGGCACCTGGTTGAGGCTGGAGTCCTGGCTGTGCTGGAGCCCCGTGCCCGTGCCCCCTGTGCCCGCGCCGGTGCCCGCTGCCGTGCCGTTGGTCTGGCTGCTGTTCTGCTGCTGCGGCTGCGGCTGCTGCGGCGCTGCCTGCGCCTGCTGCTGAGGTGCTGTTTGCTGCTGATGCTGATTCTGCTGCTGCTGATTCTGAGGGAGGAAGAGACACAACATGGTCACTTGCTCTGAGCTAGGTCTGTGAGCTCCATGGAGCTACCAATGCTGGTGTCACCGCCTGCCCAACGGGAAAACACAGCAAGGCTGAATGCTGGGAGAAGTTCACCCTCACCTTATGGGGGTGTCCCACTTGTGGTCGTTTTGCTTTTTTAATGAAACAAACTGGACTTAAACTGGAAAGACAGCCTAGTGCCTCCTACAGCTACCCAGGTGCTCAGAGGATAAAAGGAACCCTTTATAAAGCAGTAATTGCCTAATGAAGTAAATCAAAGCACCCGCTAGTGCTCAGTGGCAGATATGGGGAACCACTGAAAGTTGTTCTAAATGCTTCAACAATCTTGCTCATGCAGAATCAAAACCACTTTTCAAACTTTCACTTTTCACCTGAAGAAGGCTGGCAGCATTACTGCCAGAAAGGTAAGACCAAAGGAATTATAGCATGTCTTCATGGTTGCAAGGAAATTCTGTGGCAAAAGCAGAAAGTTTTAATTACTATTTGTTTTCCTGTGCTTTTAAGCACCTTGCAAAGGGTGCTGTAAAGGGAATAGAGCCCAGCACGGTGTACAACATATAGGGTCAGAAAATCTTATTGCAATAGGAGGAAAGTGAAAATAGACCAGAGATGTTGAAGACAAAAGAGGAGAAAACAGCTGAAAGAAGAATCTGGCAAGGTAAGGAGAAGACTAGCAAAGGAAGATAAGGCAGATAATTAAGATGATACTGGTTCCTAGCAGGAAAATAAACAGAGAAAAGTGTCACAGAAGGGAAAAAAAAGGTTAAGAAGAAGAACACAAGAACAGAAGACATTGAGAGCTCTTCCAGCTTCAGAAGGGTACAGACTAAAAGGAGTATTTGAAGAAGTGGTGGGAAGGTCAGAAAATTAACTGAGTGCAATTCCATCCTCCATGGTTACAGCTCTGGGAAAGACAACACATTCATCTGCTTTCAAACAGCAGGAATGGCTCCTCCATCCCAGCACTAAACCACCTAAGAGAATTGCAAAGAAGTGCAGCTTCACTCCAAATGTGAGATATGTCACTTGTTCATCATGCAAAAAACCTTCAACTGACATGGATTGAATTAAAAGCTTTACTCTCTTTCCCCTAATATACTGTAGGGAACATTCCAGGATAGGGTTTATTTTTCCTAGAGTATCTGCTTATATAATGACTAAAGCTTTAGTATGGCAGACTTTTAATTAAAACCTTACTTCATTAGTTTCTCAGAAATTATGACAACCAGCTGCCACTAGCAGAAAATTCTTGATGCCCCCCTTCACCAAGAGGCTTTTAGTTACCTCAGATAAATGACATAAAAGACCTGCATCTATGCCATTCATTGCAATGGTCTCCCAAGATACATTCCAATAAAATGTGCTGTGATGTATTCACTTAAGACTACAAAGAAGACTCGCATCTTCAAGGACTTAAGAGGTGAACTGCAATTCCACTTCACATTTAGCAAAACCCACAATGTATCCTCCTGCATATAGTCCTCAAATCTCATCTCAGTCAGACTCTATTTCCTGGGAGATTGAAACTTCAATAATTAAAAAAGTTAATCAAACTAGCTTGTAAAAAAAAAAACTATTAAGAAGCAATTTATTTTTCATAATGGTTTGAGCTTCACTTACACAAACAAAACATCAATAACTAAGGTATAATTTGTGTTAGAATTCTGAAATTTGTGTTTTCATAGAAGTGTTTGGATACAAGTAAGGTAGTTACTATTGTGTGAGCTGAAAAACTTCAATATATATCTGTAAACGAATATTAAAGTGAGTCTCACAATTAAAGGCAATACCTTGTTGTAGGACCCAGGTTTTGTGCTTCAGATTTTAGCACAAAATTTAGTTGACTACCCTGAGTTTGCTTGTGTGGAACTACTACTGCTACTGCTTGGCTAGAGACTAAGATCTGCTCTGTCAGTCTCCAGCTGGCTGCACCACCTTACTGTACAAAACCAGCTTTTCGCCAGCAAAAACCTTGTCCTCAGGTCAGTCTGGTTCATGGCAGTTCCTACATGACTAAACTCATGAAAGGTCTACACTTAACAACCCACACTGCCATGTGTCACCTCTCAGGCACAAATTACCAAAATGAAATTTCAGTCCTACCTAGAAACAAACCTAGCAGAAACTTGCCTAACAGAATTTAAATGAGAAAAATAATATTTTCACTTTCTTTTACAAACCCTCATTTTAGTCTTGCTAAGTATTCATTTTGCAAAATGGTTAGTTATGCAAAATGTTATTTAATTCAGATGGAAGTTCCAAATAAACAAACAGAGACTTCTCCAGGTTTCCAAATGATTATACAGATCTTTATGGTTTTAAAAACAAACCAGTAACAAGCCAGTCTAAAAAAAAATAAAACCTTTCATTTACAATAACATTATAAAGAAACAAAACATGGCACAGATTCAACTTTCAGAACAGCCTTTACCTCCACATTTTCTACACTGTGGGAACACATTCAATGACTAATGTGTGACCTGTATTACATAAATGGTCTAAGAAAAAGTTTAATTTGGAGTGTGCATAAATACCTGACTGCCCTCAACAATCTCGAAGACCATATATATGTTGGCTTTTAAAAATATAAATGTGCCAGTGTCATCATCCCTGCAACATTCCCTGGGAAAACACAGATATTTACTTTCAAGTACACTGACTTAAATGCAAAAAAGCCAGAGTAATTTTAATTCAGAAGGTTTCTTCTTGTTTTTTGAAGCTGTGAGAGTTGAAGCAAAATAACTTAAGTAAGAAATATTTATTTTACAACATTTATATATAACAAACAACTATTAGTGACTAAAGTATAGTGAAATCAGTATCATGAATTTTATTTTATTTTTGCTCAGGGGTCTGTTTCCTCCTTTGGAAAAAATTATCTGGACACAAAAACCATGGATACTACCACTTGTTCTTGGTAAAGAAGAATCTGCAATATCAGTTCTGAAAACAAAATTTGCTCTCTAAAATATAGTTTTAAACTCAGTTAGTTTGTCATGCTACACAGAAAACTGAAAACAGAAGATTCATGTATTCAAATGGTTTCTCCAAAAGACAACAGCCCTTCTCATATAGTCCTCAGATAACTACAGTTTAAGACTGTTGTCTTCACATTTTGTTAGCTATACATCACTGCTGGTGCCTCACTGTACCCTGTTCAGTGAAAATAACACGCTGTTTCCTACACTGTAGCACCATTGTCTGGCCTTCACAGCACAACAGGACAATCGCTGTGGTCACACGGCACAGCTGAGCAACACGCACCAGGAAGATCAGATTATGTTGCAAACACACCAAAATTTATGCACACAAACAAGTTCTCGTTCATGTCTACAGGGCTATGGGAAAGAGAATATTTAGAACAGATTGTTGCTACCAGAACAGCTCAGAATCCTTATTACTCCTTTGTCTGAGGGCCCTTAAAACATGATCAGGAAACTGCATGCAGATGGATGAAATGTTCTGATGTAGTGCCAGAAGCAGGCTGCCACTATTTATTTGAGACCCCAACAGCCATCTACATTCAAATGGCTGGATGGATGCCAGTCATACAATGAAAATGTCATTCTTTTCATGTGCTCACAACGTATTTTCATCATGCAGTGCTGGAGGAGGTAGCAAGGTCTTGGAACAACAGCAGCTGAGAGCAGGCTACAGCTGACAGAACAGCCCATCCAGCTCATTCCCTACAGGTCAGGGCAAACTGTGCTGGTGATACCACCTGAGACACCCCAAGGCATCCGATACTTTTTAACTGTCTGAGAAGCACTTCTAAGAAAGCTTTGCCTTGGAAACACATTTTTGGTTAACTCTTCATGTTTCATTAGTTTTCATTTGGCACCATGATGCTTTCTTATTGAACACTTGAAAGTAAAAAAAAACAAAACAACCAAACAAGTTTATTATACCTTATCCCCTTTCTCTTCAGGTTCATCTTCATTGAGGAATTCTCTTTTCGGATATGGAATCTGACAGCCAGCAAACACACTGAAACACAGCAAACAGTAAACACTCCACAAATACGTACACATGGCATACATTTCCTTATGCTATGCTAAAAACAAGTGCATATAACACAACCTCATTTCTTGCATTTGACAAATCCTGTTTCCACAAGTGAGTGGCAGTGTGAGCACCCAAGATAGGTGCTGATTGTAATGTCAGATCTCTTTGCTGTTGGCACAAGGCTATCATTTAGAAATCATGGCATGGTTGAACATGCCCAAATGCCAGAACGACCACTTGTTGATCCAGGTGGTAAAATGAACAAACAGTGTCAGAGGTTCCACAACACCCAGTTGGAACATGCATGGCTCACTGAATAAAGGGACTGGTCCAAAGAGTATTAGTATCTTATGAGCCTGCCTTGGCTTACAACAGGCTTCAATATATTTGCCAATCACAGCTGCAGAGTCACTTTAACTTACTTCTCAGCTCTTGTTTAGGAAAAAAAAGATCACTTTTAAATTCATCTAACCAATGGAATTTGGAACATTCCATAATGTTTATGGCAGAGACCTTATCATAATGTTATCTGGTGATCCATGAAGAGCTAGAGTTCTCCACAGGATAGCATCAGATAAACTCTAAGCAGAAAATTACTGGTAGATCTTGACCAGTATCAATTTCTTAGATTTCTGTGCCAACATTCAGAATACAATTAACATGACGTGTTTTTCAAGAGGGTGTAAACAGTTCTTAATCTAGTTGCTTTGTAGTTTTTGATTTTTTTTAAACAGAAAAAGAAATTTAAAAAACCCAACTAGTCTCAACCAGACTCCTTTTGCATTCCAATGACTGTTCCCTCCTTTTGGTGTTGCCTGCTAGCTGAGGAAACCGTGAAAGCAAAGGTAGAAATCTACCTGCACCAAGTTCATACAGATCATAACGCTATGCACCACTATGCTGCTGAAAACTGGGAAGAGAAACTGACAAAATCTGCCAGCTGGGACTGAATATGTCATTTGAACTTTTCGTTTTTTTTTTGTGGGATTTTAGGCAGCCATTTACCTCTTCACTTTTCTCATATTGTTACCCTCTGAAAGAGGGCATGGGAATGGGTTGTAGGTCAGGGAACTGTCCCACTCCTAGGGAAAGGCACAGTCAGCCAAGCAATGGAGAACATTGGCTGTGTAAGGCAGAACAGAAGAGGGCAGAGATTGATTCTCTAAACACTGCAGTAATGTTGTCACTCTGGCTTTGGTAGTATGCTCAGAATTACAAAACTACTGAGGTACTGGGTTATTTTTCATGACCACTCAGTTGTGGCACGAATAGATACAGACACTTCTGTACTACACTTGCTTCTACTGAGCATGGTTGAACTGCTATTTCTTGTGGACACAGGTAGGTGTCTGAATTTTTCAGCTGTCATGTCATTTCAGGGACCAGCATGTAGCAGAAAGAAGTCACCTCAGATGCGCACAGAAGAGGGAATACATACTCTGATGTAGGCAGAGGATCCTCTTGAAAGTAGGGGTCCTGCAAAGCCTGCTCTGAGGTAATTCTCTTCGTAGGGTCCATAGTAAGAAGCTTTTGAAGCTGCAAAGCATAACAATAAAAATAGCAAAAAAGCGTATCAAACTATCACTTTTCAAACTATGACTTGTATGTCTTGGATTGTGGATTGCTAAATTATTTCTAGCTTGTCCAGACAAGCCAAAGTTAGCATTGCTTGTTCAGTGAAGTTTCCAAGAACTATAATGCACATCCATCAAAGTACTGTGGTTGTGAAGTATTTCTCATGTAATAAACAGTTAAGTATATCAGACAGTATTAATTGCTCAGGCTGAACCACTGCACTAAAGCAATGCTAAATTCACCTATTACAGGTTCATAAAACATCATTTCTAAGTAATGGCTTTCTGTTGTGGTACATTGTACAGCTTTTATACTGTTCTGCACTGCTGACACAAAAGGAAAAAAGAATGGACTGAACACGACCAGGATTCTCTGTATTGCTTTAGGGAGTGAAACAATAAATCTTCATTTCTTGCACTGGCAACATTCCAGAATCAGAACACTCTGCTACTCATGCAGCTTCCAAACCTACTCTAATTGGTACTGAAATGAGAAGGAGCAGACCCTTCCTAGTAACCTTTCTTCCTTGTTAGGAGGAAAACAAGCACAAATTTATTAGCTAGAATGCTTTTGACTGCAACAGGCTATAAAAGGGGATTACAATATATTAGCAGTACAAAACAGGACTTATAGGCATATCACACCATTTTAAATAGTTACTTATCACATTCTGGTAAACTTACAGTAGGAAATTTGGGTGCTCAAATTACATTACACAGTATCCTGCTCTCACACAATACTCTCTTAATTCAAGACAGCAGTGAAAATGAATTTCCTTCTGTAAAGGACATCTCAGCCCAAACTCTCTTTCAGGTCTCCAACAAAATCTGCCTGGATATTCAACAAAATAATGTGATGTTGGCATGGGTATTTGGGGCTTTTTATTCCAATAAATTAAAAACCTGGCATAGAATTCTATATATATTATATACATATATGTATATATTATATTCTATATATATGCTACAATATATTCTATATATATGCTAGAGCAAACAGCTTCAGTAAAAATCACTCACTCTCCTCAAGAAAGGAAATACAAGAAATCATCTTTTTCAATAGTTGTAGTTAACCCTACTTGATAGATAAGGTCTCAAAACTCTCTACTTTTGCCATTTCCTTCCCAACTCCCAACTTATTCACATACTTTATGGGCCACAGACCTCAACAGATTCACAGCAAAACAGAGCCATTTGGGCTGTCTCTCCACACCCATCAGTTCATTTGCAACTAGCTCCTAAATAGATTTCTGCTGCTTGCCTAGAGATACACCTCAAGATATTCCTGCTTTATATACACATGGAGGGTCTGAATGGGCACTTATTTACTGTATTTTTGTGTGCTCTTAACCCTACATTTTCTGTGCATCTTCACAAACGGAACTTCTAATGATATGTTGGTTCTCTACATAGTGACCTCACACAATACAATATAGACAATAGTTTGGTACTCAGTATCTTTACTTCAAATCACCTTTCCTTACATGAAAATTTTCTGTCAGCTGAAGCAGCTTCTGGCACCATTACAGGTTATGCAAATTTCCCAGTTCCTCCACAACAATTTGCAGAGACAAAAATGCATATTCTGTGCAAGGCCATGCCTGATCTTTGGTACCAGATGTCATTGTTGACAGAAGAGCACAGGGCATCAGCCTCTGTTCCCTGGACTCCTTCCCTTAGCATTCCTGCTTCACTCCCGAGGATACAATCAGCTAGCCCATTCCAAGTCCATGTGTGACACACAATATCACTCCCAGCAAGATAACCTGCCTATTGGTGATGCTACTGTGAACCAGTTTCTTTGAGAAATTCCAATTATCTGTAGCTTCTGGGAAAATGAATAAGAAACATGTCTGGAGACAATTTGTTTTCAGGCCAGCAGCTGCTAAGACAACATAGAAAACCAATGAGACTAGATTTCATAAAAAATCTTGTACTTCCTAGCAGGTCTCAAGCTCTCAGGCTCCACTGGCCTAACATGACAGCTATGAATACTATGCCTGTAACTTTTCCAGGACAGCAAGAACAGATGCCTCTTCCTGAATGGAAAACATTCTGCCCTTCCTGTAGACATTATCATTCAATGTCAATCAGCAGAATGGCATAATATCATTCTCTTTGTCAAGAGTCACTTGCTATCCTGTACTGATCTATTTGATGCCATCTGTTCCCCATGCACCACACTTCCTGTACTCATTAGCACAGGCTCAGTCAATGACTGCTACAAAGCAGATGTCTTCAGAGGTCACCCTGCAAGATGGAGGTCATCTCATAAAAATAACTAGCTTGGATATGAACAAGAAGTTCTAGGGAGTCTGCTTCACAATACATGTACCTCCAATGTACAGCAATGAGATACCAGGAAGGTAGTCCATACTCTTGGGCATTTTTATTCAGAGCTTTGGGAGACTGACCTATTTGAGATCAGCCTCTGCCTCTGTAGCTGATCACTAAATCACCCCTGTTCACCCTCTGAACAGTGAGAAAAATCTAACAAGCTACTTTACTTAGAAAACTAAGTCTTCCTCACAATGTTCAGAAAGAAGGGCAAACTATGGTTAGTTTTGTTGTTCTTCAGAGATCTGGTTAATATTTCCGCCGGGAAAAGCAGCCAACCCACCCAAGATGACTCTCAGCTCAATGTTCAACCTTAAAGAATTGGCAATATAAGCTGACAGCAAGCAGGTTTTCTGGTATATTCCACTTTAAGTAGGAAAACATGGAAATTCATGTGCTAACCAATGATGTCTCTTGCAATTGTCATCTTTTCAGTTAGACTTGCCCTCTAGGTGATTCCAATATGTGCCCAGTAAGTTGAGGTTAAGAAATTTTAATTCATTTTTCTTCAAGTCTCACTTTTCTTACGGAAATTCTTTCCTTACACCCACTTGGGACTAACCTATTCTGTTTCCACAGCTATTTGTGTCATCATCCAGCAGCCACTAATGAGTAAAAGAGCCAATCTTTGCCAGAGATGACTGCTATGCTGAACTTGTAACTGAAAGCAGACCATGGGAAGTCAAGCTGCACTAAGAACCTCATTACTGAGCTCCCTGTATACAGCATTAGCAAAATCACTTTGAACTTAATTCCTAAATTTAGACAGCACTAAGTCATCACAGAGACATCCAGAAATGATGCTGCATTAGACAGAGAAGCCCTGTGTTGGCCTACAATGGATGACTCAACTAGGCAACCAGCAAATATATAGAGATTTTGTTTGGAATCATCCCCAGAACAGTGGTGGACTACTGTCAGAGGGAAGAAAAAGAAAACAAAATTACTACAGGAAATAAATGTCTCCTTTCCTCTTCCCTTTTGACACAAAACTCTAGCTTTTAGGGACTTCTTAGCTCTCTGAAGCCACACAGTATCAAGAAACATATTATACTCACTCTCTTATTTGCACAGCAGACCTAAAGGTAAGACTGGGTATAAAAGTGTCTTGCAGATCTTACTTAGAGAAGATTCTAAGATCTTTAATACCAACAGTTTAAGCAAATTATATATGAAGAAAATACATTTCAAAAATGGCCAGTTAGTGTTAAATAGCTTTCTTTAACATTGGTGTTCATTAAAATGAGATAGGAAAACAGACATAGATATTACCCTTAGAAATGCAATTTCATTCCTGTCATCACAGCAATTTTCAAGTTGCACCTACCAAAAGAAAAACTTTGCTGTCAGGCTTGACTTTGTGTTTCTCCATGTATTTTATGAGGCTACTATTGGCATATCTGAAAAATACAGTTAAAGAAAGACATGTCTGAAATAACAGTGCATTTAGAACATGGAACTCTATCAAATGACCACAGAAACATCTCCCAACCCGCAGTAAGTAAACTGTAAAAAGAACTGACATCAGAAGACATGTCAGATATTTATCTAGCAGTTGCACACAAAGTGTGCTTTTCACCAATAGGACTGCTATCAACTGTGTAAAGACTATCTCCATGAAACATGCAACTTTTATAGTATACGGATAAGCTGCTGATAAGGACAATGACAGAGAGACACAACTTGAACTTTATACTCTACTTTTCTAAAGCAATTCTGCCACAGAAAGCATTCAGCAGTTCATCACAGCTCAGCATTTAAGCTAATGTTTCTGGTTAGAACTTGGCAGAGTAGTTAGATTACCATTCTGTCTTCCCAGCCTCCAGAAAACCATACAGACCCTACAGCTCCCAAGCTCAAAATTGCCCTAAATACCTATGACCTGTGCCTTGCCTTTAATTTACAGCTCCAGAAATTATCATCTATAGCCATTTTCAAAAGAAAGAAGCTTCATGCACAGATAAGCTTCATAACTTGTGTAAAGCCAATGTAACGAATCCACGTCAGAGCTGGAAACAGAATCCAAAATTCCTAAATCCATGTCCTCTACCTTACTTTAAGGAGTCCATGCGACTCTTTACTAGCTCTGGTCTATTATCACCACTTGACTAATTTAGCCAAAGCACCAGGAAATAGTAAAAATGGAAAATTCCCAGATCCCAGATAGGCTTTGAATCACAACCTATTGAACATGTTATATTCCATAGAAATTTATGTCCAATACATTGCTGCCTCCACATACCCACTTGTCAAAAATACCAGGGTTTCCCTATTCTTTCTCACACAAAATGAACAACATTATCTTGAATATGTAATAGAAATAAGTTAAGGAAGCTCATTTGTCTGTGCCTGCCATAGATTAAATTATACTTATAACAACCCCTTCAAGAGAAATGAGGAGGCCACTCAGCTGATGCTCTTAACAAGCAGCTGAGGGAGAGAACACCAGTCATGTAAACCAGATAATTCAAACAAGACAGCTGCCACAGTGTTAGAACCCAAATACTTCAAAATCCCCTCCCCAAAAAGTGAGAGCATAGGAGCTGATTTCTGCCTCCACCACAACTCAATGAACTGTTGATACATTATCATTACTTACGTTGTTCTTCTAAAATCTTTCTGAAGAGTTGGATATTCTGGCATCTTCCTTATGTCTTCCCAGTCTTTATCTTCAGTAGTGTGGAAAAAGAAAAAGCATTTACAATTCTGAACGTGTAGGTTAAGTAATACTCAAGAAGAAATAACTACAGGAGTTGACTTCCTGTTTGTTGGCCAGTGCTATTGTTCTTTAATTGTCAGCATTTCCAAATCCATCAAACTGACAGTTTCTTCGTACCTATACAAACAACTAATAATTTCTTTTAAAAAAAACCAACAAACAACTCACTAGCATCATGTCTGCGGCTTTAATGAAAATAAATTACCTGCAGGGAATCCCATTACACTGAAAATGCGGTCTAGCTGATCATGATGAAAAGGATTACTTGTTTTGATGTCCTCCTGGCGACAGTGAAATATAGGTTCTGAAGTCAATAGTTCAGCAAATATGCAGCCAATTGCCCAAATATCTGCAAAATAAGTGGGATAATTAATGAAAATTTACTGCACTCAATTGCTCTGTTTTTTGTTTCTGCACAATTTCTCAACCTGTATAACAACAGTAAGAAAAAACGCTTCACATTTAAAAACAATGCATTAATATAACACATTAAAAAGGGTAAAATCTGGAGATATGTTTTCTTTAAACCAAAATTAGAGTCTCAAAAGCCAGTTTGCATAGTGGCAGTCCAGCACTTAACATATTCAGTTATGTCAGAAACCTACACAATATTTGCTTACAACATAGCTTAAAGGGCATTTAGTTGACCAAAGATTATCCCTCACAAAGATACATGGAAATAATACTTCTACCACATATTTCAAAACAATTCCAAACAATTCAATCCAATTCAATTCAAATTCAATCCAATTCAAATCAATCCCAATTTGGTTATAATTGATAACCAAATAAATACTAAGGAGAAGACTAATGGCTCATATGTTTTAGCCACCAACAACTGGTGTAAGCTAGTTAAAATGAGGGAAAAAAAGATCCTAAATTTAATCAATTTTAGAAGAGTGACTACCAAACTTTGAAAAAATTAAAATCCTACTTGACAACTGACTCCCACAGCAATATTACTTTAACTGTCTCATCTACATCTCAAGTACATAAAGAAAACAACAGCATGATATTTGACAGTTGGACTTGATGATCTCAGAGATGTTTTCTACCTTAATAATGCTATACACTTAGAGAAAAAACAACTTCTAGTCCATAAAATTCTCATTAATATGCTTTTTTAGATTAAATCTATTGTGGATCAAAGCATTAATTTACAAGAGAAGAGTTTATCAGATTACATGTATGCATTCTAGTTACTGCTCATTACCATCCATCTTTGTGTTCTGTATGATCCAAATGGTTTACTATGCATCTTAAATTGAAAGTGTGAATTTGCTAGTGACAAGATTCTTGTTCCCACCCACCCCCCCACCCCCCCCAAAAAAAAGGATTTATGGATTTGCTAATTTACTCCACTGATAAATATGTGTCTGGGATACTGGGATATAACTTTGGAAAAGCTGTTGAGATCAGATTAATAATAAGCATAGTCTGCTGAATACAAGAGTGGAGACTTGCGTAGTAATTGAAATTAATTTAGATGACCCTAGGAAACCTTTTTTATTTTTCTAATTTAACAGAATAAATATACAAAAAAACAATTTAACTTTAATGTGTCAGTCTAAAAGATACAAAATTCTTTAACCAGAGCTTAGTTTATTCAAACTAAAGAAAATATCAAGAAAAATTCTCTTGGTTATCGCAATTAATCTGAGACTTCAAACCCCACCTTGCTGTCAATGGTGGTGTTTGGCCCATGCTGCCTATGATACAGGGTGTCCTTAAAAAAAACACTGCTCTCATTCTGTACGAAATCAAGAAATGAGCCATCACACTCAGCTTGCCAAAATGGGTCAGTTCCATTTCCATCATGTTACAGATGTGGAGTTTGAGGTGTCCCAATATATAACCCTTTCTTCCAACTTCCCTTAAAGGAATCTGATTACATTTCATTCAGACTTTACACTTTTGACAGGGTATAACTTGCTCTGTGCGTTACATCACATTCTCATGGTTTTATCTTCCTTTGATTTTCCTATTATCTGCATGAATACAAGATCTTTAGCTGTTCAGATTTTATCTGCTCAAGCAATTAATGCAGCATATTAATCACAATTGCTGCCTGGGTAGTAGGTATAAATTATCTACTCTGGAATGGAAATTACTTTTTAATATGAGAATGGAATCTTCATTTAACAGCATCTATTCACTCATTTTCATAACAGACAGCAAATCCTTTTGGAGATGGCTTATCTAGAGGCCAAAAGAATTGCAGCTCTCTTAGTTTTCATGGCTTTCTACAGTGCTCACTGCCCATGACATTGTGAGGGAGAGGCTGGGCCACTGCTCATTACTCCATTCATACTGCTCTAGCCAGACTGACCTTTTCCTCTTAATGAAAAAAAACAGGTAAAATCTAGTGTTCCCCCTGACAGCAAAGCCGAACTGGGAAATCTCCCTGATGTGACACAGCAAACTTCAAAACTGTTTCTCCTTCATCACCTGCACTGTGTGAGAGAAGAGCCACTATACAGTGTAGAGAGAGTGCATTTTAAACCCTTTGAGAATTCAGAAAGAGAAACATTGTACCAACTGGATGTTACATCTTTGTAAATAATGGAAACTCCCAAGATGGTGGTACAATTTTCTATTGTAAAAATATAATGTAAAAAAATATAATATAATAATGTAAAAATATTGGGGTGGCATTATTGGTCAAGTCAAGCATGAGATTACTTTTAATTTGATCAGTTGTTATATTCTCTAGCAGTCCATATGCTGGGGTTCAACCCTTTATGTTTCTTGCCAGATATTCCTCATCTCCAAAGAACTAATATAAAGTAACCCAAAGGACTTGGTACAGAAAACCCGAAGCTTTAATTTATGTAAGAAAAGATTAAACAGATGGAAAAGGCCTTGCAGCCATGCAGGTCAGGGTCTTCTCTTCATGAACCTTTTATGTAACCTGATCTTGAACGCATCCTTGGCATATATTGATACCATTCACAGTTAATGATTTTCTGCCAAGATTAGCTAGTCCTTTTGTTTGTTTCTTCTAAAAAATACTCATAATTTGCAATAATAATGTACCACATCTGGCACCTTTTTCTAGCAGGAATGCTTAATTAAATTCCTCTAAGTTTAAACACTTCATGGATACAAGCAGTCTTAATAGGTCTTAATCTCCTACACTGTTCATTGTAGTCAACCAATTACAAATTCTAGGCCCAGCTATGGGCACTAAAAATAGCACTTGTCTAGTGCCATTTAAGGTTTTCCATTTATGATCCTTAAAAAATTAATGATTATTACATCTATTTAAAATATATTCCAAGTAACATGCACTACTCCTCAGTAGTGGGCACTGACAGAGCAGAGCTTAAAACACACAGGTAGTGTTTTTCAAGTACAGTGTATTATTATTCTAATGCACATCATCTGCCCCTTGCACTAAAGGAGCTTCTTATAATGTTATATAAAAATTTCATTATAAATAAAACTTTTTTTAAAAGCAAGCACCAAAATAAGTGGCAAGATTTATCCAACAATTAATTCTCTCTTCTCCCATCTACTAATGGTCAAGACGGTGCTCACTGTTCTGAAGTCAGAGCTAAAACTACTGAAGGCATCCATATCCCAGATCCACTGAAAACCAGGACACAAAGGTCCTACAGAGTTGCACTGGGTACTAAATGTTTTCCCATCTGATGTTTTGGGAGGATGCAAGTAAGGTTACCAGAGTAACACAAACATTCCTGTAAAGATGGGTCTGTTTCCTACTGTCTCTTCTGCTGTCATTAGACTTCAGGACTGATCCATAGTAAAAGGTTTTTACTGTCTGTTGGGCTGTGTTGTTTTGCTGCTGTTCTCCTCTGTCCCCCGACTCACAGATTTCTCACTTTCCCCAAGTTTACACTGGACCCCAATGCAAGCCAGTTTTGCTCCCTGGCTCTGGAAAGAGGGGTGGGAGTGACTCTTAACCATGCAACTTCCTGAGATTCCATTCAAACCTGTTCTCTACTAAAATATCCTTCCACTATGACAATACTTCTCAAGTACTACATAATTTTGTGAAAAGAAAAAAAAAACTAGCCTTTTATGGATAGACACTTGTGTTTGGTAAACATTCCCCATATAAATGCCTGTGTGCACAGATTATTAAAACATTTGTATGGCTGTCTATGTCCCAGTTTTAAAACCTGGGACTCTAATAGCTTTATAGGTCAGCTGAGAAAATACTGCACGTCCTGCTCTACTTTAGCACTGTAGCCAAGAAGCAAGAACAAAGGGATACTGTTTCAATGATAGGGCTGATTAAGCAGACAAATGCTCATGTATTCTTTCATTTCTATGGCACAATAATCTCATTTCTGTATTTGTTCCAGTATCTTGGAAACATTCACTTAAGACAATAAGGCAATTTATTAAGCAACAGCCTTGACCCATAAAATAAAACATTTTCCCATGCATATTAACCAAAACTTTTCACTGAACACAGGACAGAATCCAAGATTACATACATCTTAATTCTTAACTATATCCAATAAAAGAAATAAATGAACGATCTCTTAGTCTCATTGAATTCTTTAATAAAATCCTCTTAACAAAAGCAAGTAAAGGCTTGGAAAACATATTTAGGTGCAATCAATCTGAGCAATTCTTCATTAGTGAGGTTTAGCATAATAGCATCAGCACTCAATTGAAGTGTTTTTTTCCTGTTGTTCTTTTAAACACCAAGTCTACACTCTTGGACACGTGTGCATGGTGGTAAAGGCAGTGAAGAGCAGAAGGACAGACAGCAGAATACAGCTTCCCTGCTCCTGTCAAAGGCTAATGCAACAACCAGGGTACCCAAGAGCTGGTTAGCAGGGCCTTAGCCCAAACAGGGCTTTTCAGGCCACCTGTAAGAGTTACAGAATTTACTTAAGATCCTCCAAAATTTCCAGTCAAGGCAAGGACATCAAACACACCAATGGACTAGAAACCTAAAATGGGGCTGTATATGTAAATGTGTATTTTTTTCAAATAGCCATCAGTTGGTCTAATGAAAAGAAATAACCTTTCTTAAAAAAATATTCCACCTCATGCTGAGCACAATGGCACATTCTAGACTTACCTGGAATCTTTATATACAAGAGTCTAGGAGCACAGAGATTGTATAGAAAAAGAGTTTATTGACGTTTATGCTGGTTTTAGCATTAGAAATTAGATTTAAGAAAGTAATATATCCTTAAATAGGGATTTCTTTGGCCTGGTAAGGTGAGCAGAACTTGCCTGTTACATATGTTCTGCTATCATACAAGGGAAAGACCTTCCCACTCATACATTAAGGTCCCAGTTTTTGTATGCTTCATTTAAACTTTAGTCAGCAAAACAGAAGGTTGAGGAAGTCGTTACTAGCCT